TCAGCATCACCAGCACATTCGAGGCTGGCCACGGCGGAACAAGCGGCTTTTCTTCCTTTTTCTCGTTTTCTCGCTGACACCTGCTGACCTGCATTTGGTCCTGGGGTTGACAGGCACATGGCAAATGCGGTTAGGGAGGGCCGTAGGAAGGACACAGGATAGGAAGAGAAAGGCTTTTCATAATATATTAAGATATTCAGAGAGGAGGAGCCAGGGATTTTTTTTTTTTTTTAAATCCCTGCTGGAAGCCAGAGCTCTATATATGCCAAACAGGCCAGGAAACCCAGCAGGCCTCCTGGAGCTGGCAATGAACCGAATCAGGGGCATTGTGTCCAAGCCACTGGCTGGCTGAGGGGGCATTGTTAGGGGCTGGCCCTGTCTGGGAAGAGGGGGCTGGAGGGGGCAGGGAGAGTGTGTTCCCATGACTCCCTGGGGAGGAATAACAATTGGAGCCAGCTGGGAAGCCCGCATGCCAGGGGCCCCAGGCCTGCAGGGGGCTGAAGAAGCAAGGGGGGGGGGGGGCAAGTCAGGGCTTCCCTTTCTCAGGTGGGGGGGCAGGGCCTAAGGAGGGGGAACATGGGGGTCATTCTCTATACCCCTCTTTCTCACCCCCCACAGCCCCGGGCCACAGAGTCTCTCCAAATTACACCCCATATGTGCCCACTTCTCTCCACCTCACAGGCCCACCCTGGTCCAGACCGCCATAATCTCTCCCCCAGACCCCCGGGTGCCTTCCTCACGGGGTCCTCGCTGCCGGCCTGGCTGCCTACACTCTTCTCCATGTGTTGCCAGAAGAATCTTCCTAAGAGTTAAATCACATCACATCACTCCCCAGCTGAAACCTGCCAAAGGCTGCCCATAACGCTTAGAAGGAAACCCAAACCACTTAGTCTGGCCTACAACACCCGCCTGCTAGGCCTGGCCTGCTTCTCAGCCTCCATACCCGGCACTCCAGCACACCCCCGCCCTGCGCTCTGTCCCAGCCTCGAGGGCTTCCTGCCAGGCCCTGGAATGCTTTCAGCTGGTTCCCTCCTCTGCACACTTTGCAGATCCTGCGCTGGGAACACCCTTCCTCTGGATCTTTGCATGGCTCTCTGCTCATCATGAGTCTCAGGCCTTCCCTGGAAAATAGACCCTTTTTGTTCTCGCCTTCCAGGTCATTCTATGACACTGCCCTGTGCTACTGCCTTCTAGCACCCGCTGCCCTCCAAAATGATCGACTTTGTGCCAGCCTTCCCTCCCCTAGACTGTAAGCTTCTGGTGGGCAGGACCTGGCCCCTTCATTGTTGAGTCCTAGCGTCCAGTGTCACTAGGTACTTGGTACTTAGTAAGGACCAGGCCAACGTCAGCCAGTATATTTATTTATTTATTTGACAGGGAGAGACACAGCGAGAGAGGGAACACAAGCAGGGGGAGTGGGAGAGGGAGAAGCAGGCTTCGCGCTGAGCAGGGAGCCCGATGTGGGACTCGATCCCAGGACCCCAGGATCATGACCTGAGCCAAAGGCAGACTTACCCAACGATTGAGCCGCCCAGGCGCCCCCAGCCAGTATTTTTCTTATTCCCGTGCTGAGGGCTTGGTGAAGGACACCTGCCATGTGGTCAGGCTGCGAAGGTCACTCTCAAGCAAAGGTTCTGAATCTCCTCCACAAGCCCCAGTTCCGGGAAACGTACAGAAACAAAACCACGTCTGCCTATTCACTAGCCTCTTGCGTTCCATGCAGGCAACAGACCAGGGGCCTATTAGCAGCACCAGGACTTCGTCAGCGACAGAAACCACAGCTACGCCCGTGCCGTGTCCCAGCTGCGCCAGGGTCTTGAGGTACTGTGGACACCTAAGGCACCTGGGACATCAAGACACTTCTAGGCCTGCCACGATTTATTTCTTCAGTGGGTTAAAAAAAGGAAAAAAGCATATATTATTAAATTACAAAGTTTAAAAATATTTTGATAATTATCTCAAGTCAATATAATTCTTGTCTTTTGTAATCCTGTGTATTTTATTTATTTATTTAGAGAGTGAGATCACGAACACATGAGCCGTGGGGGAGGGGGAGGGGCAGAGGAGAGAGAGAGAATCTTAAGCAGTTTCCATGCCCAGGACTCGGGGTGGGGGGGCTCAATCTCACCACCCTGAGATCATGACCTGAGCTGAGATTAAGAGTCAGACCCTTGACCAACTGAGCCACCCAGGTGCCCCCTACGTATTTTATTTAATGAGGTTTTTAAAAAATATTTTATTTATTTATTTAGCAGAGAGAGAGAGAGCATAAGCAGGGGGAACGGGAGAAGCAAACTCCCCACTGAGCAAGAAGCCCGATGCGGGACTTGATCCCAGGACCCTGGGATCATGACCTGAGCCGAAGGCGGACGCCTAACTGACTGAACCACCCAGGCGCCCCATTTAATAGGTTTTAAAAACAGCATTCTGAGAGGGATCCACAGGCTTCACCAGATGCCAAAGGGGTTCACGACACAGACTAAAAAGACCCCCTAAAAAGGAGAGTCTTCAAAGAGCTGATGTGGTCTGGCTGTGGTCCTTCTCTTAACGGACAATTAGCCCACCAGGAGAGCCTGCAGAGGCCTGGAAAAGCAGTGGGAACGAAGCAGAGACCCCATGATCTATGTTTCCAGTTTGCCTCGTTTCCTGCATTGTTTATGAAATCGTGACATCCACAAAGCTCTGGGCGCAGAGGCCTGGTACAGGAAGCGGAGCCCTCTGTTAGGAAGCCCTCTCCAAAAGCAATACTCCAAAGACAGTCCTGCTTTCCCTCTGTCCTCCAGCTGGCCCGGGAGGCCTGTAGCTCACTAGAGTGACTCATGCAGGAGACCCTCTGGTTCAAATGAAAGCCCTCTCACCTAACATACTGTTCAGGGCTGAAGCAAGACAAACTCTCTCCCTATCCATCTGGAACATGACGAGGGGAGGAAAAAAAAATAATGTTTCTTTTTATAAATACCCCCTAATTTGTTAAAGAAAGCAAGCCATCTGAAGTCACAGATTGCAGCGATGCGGGTTCGCTCTGGGAGGTGGAGCCCAGTGCAATGTTCTGGTTTAGGAGGGTGTCAGGTTCAAAGCCTGATTCTCATAAACCCAAGTGAACAATGGAGAAAGAAATGCCATCTCCAGGATTCTTCCGGGGCCTGCGATGTGAAAGGCGGGAGCAGGGAGCATCAGGGGAGGCCTTTTCTTGGCGTCTCCGCCTGTGAATCACTGCTCTCACATGGGCTCACTGAATGGTCTCTAATTTGGGAGCGGAGCAGCAGAAGGGCCCCAGATCAACTTCAGTTTTGTCCTTTCCATTTCACTTGGGGCTATGTGGGCCCGAACGTTTGGTATCAGCGACGGTAAGGCTCCAGAGATGTAGGGCGGTTCATCTCATACACTGATCGCGGTGAGGACCAGCCTGAGATTTTTGGGGAGTCCGGGGGTGGACTGGGGTGGGAATCAGCTCAAAGAAAGGACTCCCTTTCACATTAGGTTACTGATCAGAGAGAAACCACAACACAGAGAGGGCAAGGAAAAAATGCTGAGGACTTGTGGGGATGACAATGCAATGTCAACATTTCTCAGAAGACAGGAACATTTGGCCAGCTCAGTCAGTAGTGTGTGCAACTCCTGATCTGGGGGTTATGAGTTTGAGCCCCACATGAGGTGTACAGATTACTTAAAAATAAAATCTTTAAGGGCGCCTGGGTGGCTCAGTGGGTTAAGCCACTGCCTTCAGCTCAGGTCATGATCTCAGGGTCCTGGGATTGAGCCCCACATCGGGCTCTCTGCTCAGTGGGGAGCCTGCTTCCACCTCTCTTTCTGCCTGCCTCTCTGCCTACTTGTGATCTCTCTCTCTGTCAAATGAAAACAAATAAAATAAAATAAAATAAATTTAAAATAAAAAAAATAATAAAAAATAAAATCTTTAGGGGCCCAATTGGGTGGCACAGTTGGTTAGGCGCCCAGCTCTTGATTTCAGCTAGGGTCGTGATCTCAGGGGCGTGGGATCGAGCCCCATGTTGGACTCTACACTCAGCGGGGAGTCTGCTCAAGATTCTCTCTCTCCTTCTCTCTGAGATAAATAAATCTTTAAAAAGATGAAATCAAGTATTTAAGGGCATGTGGGTGACTCAGTTGGTTAAGCATCCAACTCTTGATCTCAGGTCTTGATCTCAGGGTTGTGAATTCAAGCCCCTATTGGGCTCCATGCTGGGCATGGAGCCTACTTAAGGGGAAAAAAAATTAAAAATGAAATAAAATCCTCTAAAAAAGTCTCTCATAAGACAAAGATAGGTGGCTGTGCACAGACTATCTGGGAAAGGCCATACTAGAAAGTGCTAACAGTTGAGTGCCTCTGGCAAAAGAGGGGGTTTGGGGGTGGAACTTGGGTGCAGGAAGGAGCCCAACTTTTCCTTGTGATACACCTTTTGTACCATGTAAGTTCTGTACTATGAGCATGGGCTATGGATGGAAAATTATTTTTTTATAGTCTTGCAGATCAGAAGACTTCGTAGGAACGTGGCCAGTGCTTAATAAACACGTAAATCGTCGTACTATTTCAGGAACTAGCACTTACAGAGTGCCTACTGTGTTCCAAGGGCCCTTTGGCAATGCCCGTTTTACAGATCTTAGGAAATAGAAGCTCAGCTAGGAGGGAGCCAACGGGGACTCCTCCCAGGTCTGCTGGAAGCCAGAGCTCTGCTCCTCAGCAAGGACCACACAGCCTCGCTCCCTGGAGTGAGCAGTTGGGGGAACCAGATGCTCTGGCAGGATACGGAGAGATGCCATCTGTGAGGGAAACCTATTCTTAGAGAGCAGAGACAGTCGGTGGTGCAGCCAGCCAGCCCCCCGCGGCAGTGGGGGGATGCTGGGCAGGCAGGGAGCCAAGGCTCTACCTTCATTTGGGGGGTAGGAGAGGCTAAGAGCAGGGGCTACTCAGTTCTTAGGACCACGTTTCCTCCTCCCTTTAGATGCTATAGTAGACATTACAGCAAACATTCACGGAGTGCTTACTTTAGACTCATCATGTTGTTTAATCCTCCAGATCGTGCTGTGAGGGCACTGAAATTAGCACGCCTCTCTTACAGATGAAGAAACAGGTACAGTACGGTGAAGTCCCTTGCCCGAGAAAAACGGGCCGAGCCCCGGCACTCTTCCTCCGAATTCTCTGTCCAAACCTCCACTGGCTTTCAGCTTGCTGCACCAGAGGCCAGCTTTAGTTTCGGTTTCCTCAACAGCAGAGCCTGAGACAAGGATTTCAGTGCAAGTGGTTCCTCTGGGAAGTGATCATACGTTAGGGATGGAGGAGACAGGGAAGGGCGGGGGTGGGCACAGTTATCAAGCAAGTGATCATTGTGGGCAGCCAGAGTTCAGTCCGGCCGGGGATCTCTGGGAGCCACTGCGGAGTGTCCACCTTGGAGAGTGATCGCCCGTGTTAATCCTCCAGACCTGCTGTGGGTGGCAGAGCAGGTGCCAGTGGCAAACGAGAGCCCTCAGGCAGAGAGACACAGCGGTGGCAGTTGGAAGAGTTGGCTGGTGTGCGGTGAAGTGCGAAGTTGGAGGGGACTGAGCAGAGCCCCCCAACATCTGCTTGCTGATGGCCTCCCCCTTCCTCTCCTGACCTCCGGATCTCATTCAGCCTCCACACAGGGAATGCGGGACCTTCCAGATCACCTTCTCCAAGTGTGTAGTACGTCAGGACTGAGAGCACTGCTGTCAGAAGCAGGCCTAATCCCACCATGATTACTTAACAGCTCTGTGACTCGGCTTCCTCGTTTGGGCTGGCTGCGCATGATTCCCTACTACTCGAGGTTGTTACTCGAGTTTCGGCTCCGTCCAGCAGCACCAACGGCAGCACCTGGAAGCCTGTGAGAAAGGCAGACTCTCTGGCCCCACCCCAAACTCACTGAGTCAGAATCTGCATTTTAATAAGATCACCAGTGACTCATGTGCACATTTCTACTAGTAATTTCTAAAAAGAGACTGGAGTATTCCTACTAGACCAAGGGTCTCACATTGGAAGCTCATGGACCACATCTTCCTGGAGACCTGGTTTGGTTTGTCCAGCACCAGTGATTTTAAAAATCGGACTGGCACATAAGTCTCCAGTTCCCCAGGTTACCATCACTCCCAAGTGCACAACATTTTCATTTATACCCCTTGCCAGACCCTTCTGGGCATTTGAGTTTGCACAATGTTCTGGACTCCATCCTAGAACTAGTTAACATTTGCATAGCATTGCTTAGGTTTCTAAATTTAACATAAGGCACTGAAAACAACAACAACAACAACAACAAGGGTATTGAACTCAGACAGCTCTGGGTTCAAACCCTGATTTGGCTATCATACTGGTTGTATTATCTTGATTATCTTGGGCAAGTGACTTCCCGGCTCTGATCCTGTGTCCACATCTGTGAGATGAGGATCAAAATACACACCTGCAAGGTCATTGTATGGGTTAAAAATAATACATGCAAAGCATCCGGGAGGAAGTAGGAGCTCACTAATGGAAGTAATTAGTAGTAATAGCAGCTCTTATACTTCTACAAATCCAATGTGTGTATTATGATTATCCTCATTTTATAAGAAGCTGAGGCTCTGAGAGGTTAAGAAACCTTCCCCAAGGTTACACAGTGGTGGAGCGGGGACTCAAACCCATGTCCCCTAGCTCTGTATCTGCACTGTCCACTAGAATTTTCTGCAAGCATAGAAGTGTTCCATATCTCCTTTAACCAATATGGTAGCCACCAGCCATATGCGGATACTGTGCACTTGAAATATGGCTGGTCCCCATTGGGACACACTCTAAGTATACACCACATACCTGATTCTGATGACCTAGTATAAGAATGAGGAATATAAAATATCTCATTAATTTTTATACTAATTTTCGTATGTTAAAATGACAATATTTTAGAAATACTGGGTTAAAATATATAATTAAGATTAATCTCACCTGCTTCTTCCTACTTTTTTCATGTGGCTTCTAAGACAAATTTCAATTACATATGCGAATCACATTGTGCTTCCATTGGACAGTGGAATTCTAGAGCTTCTCCACTAGAGCAACACCTGAGCCCAGGAATTCAATTTTTTCTAAAAACATATTTGCTGCCTTCCCCCCGCCCCCACCCCCGGCAAGGAGTCCTGGTACACAGAATGGTCAAAGACCATAAGCTACTAGGAAGAGACTTCAGGGCCCTCCTCTAGGCTGGCTGACCCCTGACGCCCAGAGCGGGGGTGGGGTGGGGGGAGGGTGTTCCCTGGTCTCACATTAGCCAGCAGCACAGCTGGAATCATGTCTGAGGCCCTGCAGCCCAATTCACCACTCATTCCACCCATGGAGAGGACTTAACGGGACTTGGAAATCAGTGCTTTTGCTTCGGCAAATGAAACCTTGGGACAATACAAGTTGGAGTCTGAGAACCATGATCTTGAGAAGGCAGGATCCTTTAGGGGGATTCGCCGATGGAGCCGATCTCGGCTGTGGACGCCCCCATCAGCACCTCGGGGGCCCCATTACTTCGAGGGGAGGCTCTTGTTGTAGAGGAGGAAGTCTGAGATGTCATGCCAGACATTGCTGTCCTGGTACAGGTAGGTCATGGAGGACTGCAGGGAAGGCTGCAAAGTGCGCTGGTGGTACTCAAAGAGCCACAGCACCAGCCCCCACAGCAGCCCAGTGAACAGCGGGAATGGGTCCCACCTGGGTTCAGGAATGTAGCCCTTCTCCACGCCCAAGCGGCACAGGGCAAACAGGGCTCGTGAGAGCAGGTACATGTTGATCTGCAGGGAGGGAATGACAGGGGATTACGGGAGGGACCAGAGTTGGGGGGGGCGGTTTCCCAGCCACTGGGACCCTTCAGCCCACCCCTGCGTCCTGGGGCACCTATTGCACATGGGATCAGGGTTTTTCTTTCTTTTTTTCTTTATTTTATTAATCTCTACACCCCACGTGGAGCATGAACCCATGACCTCTCGTTTAAGAGTCTCATGCTCTTCTAACTGAGCCAGCCTGGGTCAGTGTTTTTCAAAGCTAGTGTGCAAGATGATTTGAAGTGGTAGGTAGTAGGTATTTTAAAGATTTTATTTATTTATTTATTGGGGGAGTTGGAGAGGCAGAGGAAGAAGGAGAGAGAGAATCTGAAGCTGCCTTCACACTCAGTGCAGAGCATGACACGGGGTTCAATCTCAAGACCCTGAGATCATGACCTGAGCTGAAATTAAGAGTTGGAAGCTTGGGGTGCTTGGTTGGCTCAGTGGGTTAAGCCTCTGCCTTTGGCTCAGGTCATGATCTCAGGGTCCTGGGATGGAGCCCTGCATCGAACCCCCAATGGGGCTCTCTGCTCAGCAGGGAGCCTGCTCCGCCCCCCCCCCCCGGCTCCCACTTGCCTCTCTGCCCACTTGTGATCTTTGTCTGTCAAATAAATAAATAAAATCTTTAAAAAAAAAAAAAAAAGAGTTGGGGGCTTTGACCAAGCCACACCGGTGCCCCTGTAGCAGGTATTTTAATGTTGCTATTCTTTGCTGTAATTTATCATTCTTGTTCACTAACATTTTTAGAAAATGAATATATTTACATGGCTCAAAACTGAAAGGCAACCTGACACCAAAACCCACAACCCACATAAAAATAAAAAATCAGTAAACTGGATCTCATCAAAATTTAAAATGGGTTGTGAAAGCCCATATGAAAAGGCTGAAAAGAAAAGCTACAGCTGGGAGAAAGTATTTACAAACATGTATCTGACAAAAATTTCTATCTGGGATATATATATATATATATATGTATTTAAAAAATTTATTTATTTATTTGACAGAGAGAGATCACAAGTAGGCAGACAGGCAGGCAGAGAGTGAGGGAGAAGCAGGCTCCCCGCCAAGCAGAGAGCCTGATTCAGGACTCGATCCCAGGACTCTGGGATCATGACCTGAGCCAAAGGCAGAGGCTTAACCCACTGAGCCACCCAGTTGCCCTGGGATATATATTTTTTTAACAAACTCTCAAAACTCAATGGTAAAAAAAAGAAACAATCCAACTAGAAAATAAGCAAAAGATGCAAACAGATGTTTCACCGAACTGGTTCTACAGATGGAAAATAAGCACATGTAAAGATGTTCAACATCATTAGCCATTAGGGAAATGCAAATTAAAACCACAATGGAAGCACTGCACACCTATCAAATGGCTGAAGTTAAGAACGTGATAAACCGGGGCGCCTGGGTGGCTCAGTGGGTTAATGATGACCTGCCTTAGGCGCAGGTCATGATCTCAGGGTCCTGGGATCGAGCCCCGCATTGGGCTCTCTGCTCAGCGGGGAGCCTGCTCCCCACCCCCCACCCGCCTGCCTCTCTGCCTACTTGTGATCTCTTTCTCTGTCAAATAAGTAAATAAAATCTTCAAAAAAAAAAAAAAAGTGATAACCAGATGCTGGCTAGGATGTGGAGAAAATGGATCATTTGTATATTCCTGATGGGAATGTAAAATCGTACAGTCACTTTGGAAAACAGACTGGCAGTTTCTTAAAAAATTAAACATGCATGGGGGTGTCTGGCTGGCTCAGTCGATTAAGCATACAACTCTTGGTTTAGTTCAGGTTATGATCCTGGGGTCTGGAGATCCAGCCCTGCGTGGGTCTCTGAGCTCAGTGTGGAGTCTGCTTGAGATTCTCTCCTTCCTCCTCTGCCCCTCCCCCACTCATGCTTTCTTTGAGCTATTTCTCTCTCTCTCTCAAATGAATAAATAAATAAAGTCTTAAAAAAAAAAAAATGGATGGGGCGCCTGGCTGGCTCAGTAGGTGGAACATGCAACTCTTGATCTGGGGGTTCTGAGTTTGAGTCTCACATTGGCTACAGAGATTATGAAATACTTAAAAATAAAAATCTTAAAAAACTTAAACATTGGGTGCCTGGGTGGCTCAGTGGGTTAAAGCCTCTGCCTTCGGCTCAGGTCATGATCCCAGGGTCCTGGGATCGAGTCCCGCATTGGGCTCTCTGCTCCGCAGGGAGCCTGCTTCCCTTCCTCTCTCTCTGCCTGCCTCTCTGCTTACTTGTGATCTCTGTCTGTCAAATAAATAAATAAAAATCTTAAAAAAAACAAAAACCCAAACTTAAATATGCATGTATCATATGACCCAGCAACTGGACTCTTGGGCATTTATTCCGGAGTAATGAAAACCTATGGTCACCCAAAAACTTGTACAAGAATATTCTTAGCTGTATTTCTAATAGCCAAGAGCTGGAAACAACCCAGATGTCCGTCGGTGGGTGGATGCTTAAACAAAGTGTGGGGTGCCCATGCCCTGGCATGAGCTACCGATACACACACAACTTGGATGAATTTCTAGGGAATTATGCTGCGTGAAAAAGCCAAACACCAAAGGTTATATACTGCAATGACTCTACTTACGTAACATTTTTGATATAACAAAATTTTAGAAATGGAGGTCAGGGTAGTTGTTACCCGGGGTCAGGGAAAGGAAGGGAGAGAGAAGGAGATGGTATGACCAGGATTCCTAGCCCCTAGAAGTTCATAGACCAGTGACATTTCTAACCAAATAAAAAAAACAAAAAACAAACAAACAAAAAAAAAACAAACCCCCCCCAAAAAACCCTTGGGAAACTTTCTCAAAATTCAAAATGCTCACATCTATAGATTCCATAGTTCTGTGGTAAGGGTATTTCAGATGGATTGACACATATCCAAACAAAGATGTAGACGAATGTGTGTGTGTCCTGGCAAAAGACTACAGACCCCCTAAGCATCCATCCAGAGGAGACTGGGGAAATCAAGGCCAGTCGATTCACACAATGGAGAGCTCTGCTGGTGTTAAAAAGAATGATGGACTGACAAGAAAGATTTCCTAAATACATCATTCTGTGAAGAAAGAGTATGGTGTGATCTCATTGGTGAAAAACTCCTGGTGTGTACAGATACTAGCACAGACAATTTTTGAAGGGGCACACAAGACACAGTTAAAGTGGGAGGTCTGGGTGGCTCGGTGGGTTAAACCTCTGCCTTCAGCTCAGGTCATGATCTCAGGGTCCTGGGATCAAGGCCATGTGGGGCTTCTTGCTCAGCAAGGAGTCTGCTTCTTTCTCTCCCTCTGTCCCTAGGTTCATGCTTTCTCTTTCAAATAAATAAAATCTTAAAGAAAAAAAAGGCTTAAAAAAAAATAAAAAAGGACACAGTTAAAGTATTCCTGGACAGCGGTTTGAGAATTGGAGGGGGGATGGGAGCTTTCTTTTCAATTTATTTTCTAATTTTATTATGATATACCCCAAGCACCTAGAAGTGCCCCAGACATACAGAGGGTGCTTAGTCTGTATTTTAAAAAATATTTTATTTATTTATTTGACAGACAGAGATCACAAGGAGACAGAGAGGCAGGCAGAGAGAGAGAGAGGAGGAAGCAGGCTCCTTGCTGAGCAGAGAGCCCGATGTGGGACTCCATCCCAGAACCCTGGGATCATGATCTGAGCCGAAGGCAGAGGCTTTAACCCACTGAGCCACCCATGCGCCTCTGCATTTTTAAAATGCGAAAATAAACCACGATTTTTATCATTTGAAAGTATTTAATAAATTGGAGGGAGGCAAAGGGAGGGGCTACCAACTTTTCATGTCACCCAAGAAGGACTTTAAAACAACATCTAGGGGGCGCCTGGATCGCTCAGTTGTTAAACTTCTGCCTTTGGCTCAGTTCATGATCCCAGGGTCCTAGGATCGAGTCCTACACCTGGCTCCATGCTCAGAAGGGAGTCTGCTTCTCCCTCTCTCTCCCCACTGTTCCCCCTGCTTGTGCTCTCTCCCTCTGTCAAATAAATAAATAAAATCTTAAAAAAAAACCTCATCTTCTTTTACCGCCACCCGAATTCTATACCCAGACCACAATCTTCCTGTCCCAGCCTCTGAGCCCTGAGCCCTATTCTGGGGAAGGGTCTTTACCTGGCTGTTGATGTTATTGTTAGCTCCAAACACCAGCAAGCCCCCGAAGAAGGCGGCCAGGAACGAGTGCACCTGGTAGGTCTCGCCCTGCGCGTGGGCCTGCAGGGTGCAGAGGCCCTTATAGGTGAACACAAAGCAGGCCAGGTTCCGGGAGTGGGTGTACGTGGCTTGCAGAATGGCCCGCAGCTTCTCCTGGAGGCTGCACAAACACAGGGACCCCTAGTGAGTGCGGGCCCAACTGCTCTGAGGGCATTCTCCCCCGGGGAATGCAAACCT